AGTTGCACAAGTATTCACATATACCATGTATTGTGAAACTATTGACTCTCTAGGATGTACATTTGGAGTAAATGCTGCTGACTTCTATTCAGCTAAGACTTCTGTGGGTTTCAACTATATTTCTATGCTTAATTCACTGGGAAGTTAAGGAAAACTGAATGAAAAATGGTGTTCATGAATATATAGAATTCTTCCTTCTATAACTCCCCACACAGGCTCTCCTATTAAACATTCAGTGCTCCTGCCAAATTTAGCTTAACTTATTTCCAAAGTAGTCCAGCTTGCACAGTCATTCTTCTGAACAAGAGTTTGGTAGTTAGTAAAAATTTTTCTCTACAGGTTGCCAACTTCATAGCATAATTATCTTCTCACACAGGTAGCAAGTCAGTTTCATTTCCTGATAACAGAAGCTGAACTTAGTGCAGAACAAATATATATTATTAATTCTAGTAATTCAGAAGACTTTTAATTCAGAGAACAAATAGAAATGTTACAAGGAGAATTGACAGATGAGCAACGGAAGACTTTATAACTTTCACTTAGTAAGAACTACTAAGTTTTTCTTTTAATCACATATACCATGGTAGTGGTTGGCTGCTCTAGATAGCACAGTTTAAGAAAGTAGCTTACCAACAGCTGTGTTTGCATACCTTTTCTAGATTTCACAGTAGTCTTCCCTATGTAGGACCTCAGAGAAATTGAGGTAATAGGATGCATCTTGGTGATAAAACTTTGGATATTACTGGGCAGCGGGCATTCTTACTAACCAGGCAATGAAATTCTCTTCAAAGCTCAAATGTATCATTTTGTCTTGAGGATGTGCTGTATTGAAGTAGACTGGCTTTCCGTGCATCTTTGGTTGGATGGCACTGCCAAATATTTCATCTTTACAAAGCAAAAATGGGCAAATAAAAAAATGACCACTCAGGGTTTGAAGTGTTTAGCAGTAAAAACGGAGTGTCCTCATGTAGCCTGATGAAAAATGAGATATGGTTTTATGGTTTCTTCTGTATTACTCTCTAGAGAACTCTACTTTTGTCAACAGGTTCTAGGCTGGTTCAGCCCATGACTAATGGGTCATGACTAATAGGATGGAGGGACCCATGGACCCACAACCCAGGGGAGGGGGAAAAAGGGGAAATGGTAGGGAGATGGTAGGGAGATGGGCCTAAAAGCAGAACAGTTGCAACAAGCTAAGGGAGAAATCTAATTTGCTAAATATGATATCAGAATGCGAGATAACACAGTATAATACAATATAATTGGAATTTAAGCTAATAAATCAAATAAAATGAGAGTGAGAGTGTCCAAAACTAAAGGCCTTACTCTAATGCTGAATGCGAGATGGCTAGAGTGCACACAAAAAGACGAGCAGTAAAAGAAGGGAATGTCTTGTGACTCGTGAGCAGTTTTATCTTTCCCTCTAAATGGAAAACGGAAATGGAACAGTGAAGGCCTTCTGGGGCGTATAGTTCTTCCCTTCTGAGAACCAAGTAACCTGAACTAATGACAACCCACAGAATTGGAGCATTAAGTTTTTAACTCCCCTTGCGTTACATGATGTTATGATGTGGAATACCAATAACCAAAAATCATAAAACCATGACAACATTCTTTGTGCAAAAATGTATGAAATAATGTAATATTATTTGTTGTACCTAACATGTAGCAGACATTAGAAAAAGCACTGCTGGCAATTTAGAGAGGTGATCTTTGCCTTCTACTCTGTTGAAGCCATACATGGAGTGCTCAGTCTAGTTCTGGATTCCCCAGTACAAGAAAAATGTGGTCGTGCTGAAATGGGTACAGGGAAGAGCTGTGAAAATGGTTAAAGGGCTTGTCATAAAAGGAAAGGTTGAGAGAGTTAGGGCGTTTCAGCCTCAAGAATTGGAGGCTCAAAGGATCTTATTAATTTGAATGAATATCAGATGGGAGGGTGTAAATAAGATGGAGCCAGGCTTTTTTCATTGGTTTCCACTGACAGGAAAAAAGGCAATGGATGTATATTTAAACACCAGATGTTTTGTTTGAACATCAGAAAACATTTTTTATACTGTGGGAGTGGTTGAACATTGAAGTAAATCACCCAGAGAGTTTGTGGGATCACCACCCTTGGAGATATGCAAAACCCAACTGGAAATAGTCCTCAGCAACTTGTTCTGAGTTTGCTTGAGCAGGGAGGTTAGACCAGATCATATAAAGAGTTCCCTTCCAAACTAAACAATTCTATGATTCTGATTTTCAGTAACTAAATTCTATTCACACTATTTCTTCTTTTTTTTTTTTTTTTTTTTTTTTTTCCCCAATTACTCCGCAAAAGCTTTCAGCTTTTCCCTTTAAGTTACGAGAAAATATATATGAAGTCCCCTTACACTTTTTCTATTTATTTGGTATTCAGCATACAGCACTATTCATGTGCTTGACCCAACGTACAGCAATTAACAAAGTAATACAGAACAGACACACATGACTGTGTCAGTAATTAATAAGCAAAAAGGTAAGTAGGATAACTTAACCTCCTGTAATATTCTCTTCAAAAACTATCATGAAGACACTTGATTCTTACAGACTTAGACCACCAGTATTTTTTTAGTTGGCTTTAAGGCTGTGACTCAGAAACACCGGGGCTGCAGTGAATTAGTTCTTGCAGTTGCTTTGCTTCATCTTTTACATGGAGTGTGCAGGCCCAAAGCATCTGAAAGACTGTGGTCTGTCTATGGATACAACATGCAACACCATAATCTTTAAACCTAGTGTTACAGTTCCAGATATTTCATGTTTTAGTTCTGTGTGATGCACAACAGATGCTAAGGTGGTATCTCACCTTCCTGCTCCCTTTGGTTTTGAGTTAGCTGCCATACTTTTGCTTGTTGGAAATGAACGGATAAATTGTTTAACATCAGACTGTAACAGGAAGGCAGCCTTCCCTGCTGGTCACAGATGGCAGAAAGTGATTTTATTGATTTGCTAGTACACGGCTTGGTTGACTACATCTATAAGTAATAATGTGGCCAGACCCTGGAAGAAATCACCACATGACTTATTGGAGGGTCTGTTTCCTTAACTGAGTGTGACATTATGGTATTTGCCAGTTCTTCGTTGTGCTTTACTAACACCACTTTAATCTCTCTGAGCCATCTGTTGGTCATTCAAGTTTGTTTCATTCATGTGCTGGAAGAGTTGAGACTTTCAGAGTTGATGGAAAAGGCTGAATTTACCCATTATAACTCAAAAGTTCTACTGGTCACAGTAGTACTTATCTTTTTCTTTTTCTTTTTTTCTTTTTCTTTTTAATTATGTTGCTGAACTGTTTAGTGCAGAAAATCTCTTGGGAGGATACAAGCAGATGGTCACAGTAATTCTTCTCAAATTCCATGGGTCATGAAGGTTCATAGCTCTCAGATTTGTGTGAAAGATAGTAGTGTGGCTGGCTGAAAGCTGGTCTCTCTCCCTATTGCAAACCCAGCAAGTTTGGCAGCAAGAAGCATTAAGCACTGCTAGCACAGATTTTTTTTTCCTTTGGTTCATACCCATCTCTAGAAACCACAGCTGTTTCATGCTGTGACCTCAACAGAAACATGACTGAGAAGTCTTAATGTGCTAGAAGTAGTTCACATCTTATTTGAAAGTTCAGTTTTCTTCATATTTCAGCTTTGCATGTCCAACTATTCACAGATAGACTTGTGCTCAAATAAGGGGCTTTTCAGAGCTACAGGGATTGGTTTAGGGCCAGCGGATTACAGGTAATCAGTCCCTTCTAAGAGAAGGGCTGCTGAATTGGTTACCAGCTCCTCCAAACCAAGTTTCTCAAAGCTGGTAGATTAGAAACTGGTAGGGGAAGGTGTCTGAATCTAGAATAATACTTTGTTTATTGTGCCCTTCCTTTTCAATTGACCAATGCACCGTGGCATGTTTCATGGCCATTTTGGTGGGTTTCAGCTATGAAAAAATTGGCCAGAGTGATCTAGAGGAGAGTTGAGAGAGACAGGCAGGGAACCGCTGCCGCGGGTGCCACTTGCTGCAGGAAGTATAGAAAGTGCTCTCGTCTCGGATCCTAAGAAGGGATCATGGATCGGTCATGGCGCTGCCTCGGGGTGACGAGTGTGCAGCTGGAGCTGAGGCAAGCATGGCTGATGTGCGAGAGAGCGGCGGCTCGGCGGCAGCTGGGTGGCCCGCAGCCTCGGGCCGCCCCGCGGAAAGCCGGCGGCACAACTCCTCGGCGGCCGCCCCGTTTCCCTGGGTGCCTCCCGCTTTCGGTGAGACAGCGGTCCCGGCGGGGACCGGAGCGAGCTCCCGACCCCGCCTCGAGAGGCGGACACCTGCGGGGGCACGCGAGGAGAGAGGCAGTGCCGGGGCGGCGGGAAGAGCGAGGGGAGCGGGGGACGGCGGCGCCGGCGCTCCGGCTCTGGCACGGCCGCCTGGGAGGGAGGCAGCGGCGGCGCGCCTCGGACTCCGCCTAAGCGGCCCCGAGCTCTCCTCCCTCCTCGCGGCGCCGAGCTCGCAGGAGCAGAGCATCGCATCGCATCGCATCGCATCGCATCGCATCGCTTCGCTTCGCATCGCATCGCTTCGCATCGCATCGCTTCGCATCGCATCGCATCGCGGCGGCGGCACCCGCCCCTCCCGGCCGGCCCGCGGCGCACACCGCCTTCCTGCCTCTCTCCGTCCGCACGCAGCCCCGCCGGCGGCCATCGGGAAGCCCCTGCACCGCGGCACCCCCGCCCCGCACGCCCACCGCCGAGAGGATGGGCTGCGGGCGACGGCGCGGCGGCCCCCGAGCTCCGTGAAGCCGCGGAGACAAAGGGAGCGAGCGGCGGCGCAGCCGGGCTGGGGTGGATGCGAGCAACCATGAAAGGCTGCGTCTCCGCCTCCTCCTCCGCTGCTGCCAGAGAGCTGCTGGCCGCCGCCGCTCGGAGGACTACACTGTGAGGGGGGGCGGAGGAGAGCCGGCGGGGCTCGCCTCGCCGAGGCAGAAGGTGTAAGGGAGAGGCAGAGATAAAATGTCTTCTTCGGCGGGGCCCCGCGGCCCTCGGCCACCCACGGTGCCCCCCCCGATGCAGGAGCTGCCCGACCTGAGCCACCTGACAGAGGAAGAGAGGAACATTATCATGGCAGTGATGGACCGGCAGAAAGAGGAGGAAGAGAAGGAAGAGGCCATGCTCAAGTAAGCAGACGCCCGTCATTCATTCATTCGGTCGCTCATTCATGCGCTGCTCGCGGGCGGGCGGGAGCGGGCCGCTGCCCGGGGCCGCCCCGCGGGGCCCTGCCCGGCACGGAGCTGCCGAGCCGCGGCCGCGGCCTCGGCCCCTGACTTCCTCCTGCCCGCGCCCGGGCAGCCCCTCCCGAAGCGGCGCTGGCCATGGGGGAGCCCGGCGCCGCGGGACGGAGCGGGACGGCGGCCCTCCCCGCCCCCAGGGAGCGGGACAGCGGAGGGCGGGTGGAGAGCCCCACTCGGGGGCGAGGCGTGATCCCTTCGGGGTCCCCGCGACCCCGCCTCTTCCAGGAGGGGCCGCTGGGTGGGGTTGCCCGGCTCACCGGAGCGGCCGTGCTGCCCCCGACTGGCCTGGTCTCGGTCTCGGCCGTCTCCCTCCGCACGGCTCAGGGCTCCGGCCCCGGCGGCTGCCCCGCCCCGCGCCCCGGTCCCCCGCGCGGCAGCGGCTGCGAGCGGCTCGCTGTGGGAGCGGCTCGCGGTAGGGACGGCGAGGCGTTCTTAACTAGGAAATCTATGTAATTAGTCGCGCTGCTCATCGCAGAGGGAAGCGTGCCCGCGTGCTCGCGGGACGGAGCGGGCTGGGACTCTCCGGCCGCACAGAGGGGTGTCGGTAGGTGCCACGTTTGCGCATCAGGTCCCTGGCACTTCTGAAGCTTCACTCCCTCTCGCCCTTCACCCTGGCAAAGAAACACATGTGACCACATTTTCCAGCCTCCTCCGTCAAGAGGTGGCTTCAAACGTAACATTGCCCGCAGTGAGCCATGAGGATAAACAGGTTGAAGCTGTCGCCTGTGGAGGGAGGTGTCAGGTTGGATGGGGCCCTGGGCAGCCTGGTCTGGTATTGAATGTGGAGGTTGGTGGCCCTGCCTGCGGTGGGGGGGTTGGAGATCCACAATCCTTGAAGTCCCTTCCAACCCGGGCCATTATGTGAGGCTGGGATCTGCTCCCCAGCTCCCCATCAGGCCTGCTCTCTTGCTAATGGCTGTGGCAGGTAGGTGAGGGCAGAGTACGCAAAGCCCCAGGTGATCCAGGCCCTGGGTGGCAGGAGGTGGGTCCCCACCTTGCTGCCTGCCGACACACTACTGTGCTCAGTAGGGCCGCTCCCAAGGCGGCACCCACTCTGGGTGCTTTCGGCAGCATCAGATATACCCAGTGACACGGCACAGCTGCACCAGCTGATGGAGCTGCCTCATCTCCTCAGGCTCCTGACTTCTGCCCTCACATGCTGCATTCCGATTTTGCCTCTGCTCTTCCTCATGGGTGTCCTGCTCTAAGTTCTGCATGGGCTGCCGGAGCTGAGGGCAGCAGCATAAGCTGGGCCCAGCGCTGCGTCTCGCAGTGAGAATGTGAGGCTGGGAACGTGATGCTGGGGTCTCGGCTTGGGACAGCGGATGTGGGTTGCTGCTCCTTACCCTGCGGTGTGGCTCTCTCGGAGATGTGCTTTGTGGAGACACATTGTTTTCGTCAATGTGGTGAAATGTGAGCAATGGCTTCCTCTTTAGATTCTATTTATCAGAAGAAAATTAAATGGAGAAATAGTTCAAAGGCTTTAAGCTACATTTATCCTTCTCCCATTTCTTGTCTTCCAGAACAGCTACTTCCCTATAAATATTTAGCTTGTGTTCCTTGAAGAAGATTACTGGTTCTGTGGTGCTGTAGAGCAATACTGTAAATCTTACAGTCGCTGCAAGAATGAACTTTTGTCAGTTGAGATGGTAATTTCTCAGCCTTGTTCTTGTTAACGTGGGGTAGAGGATAAATTTTTTTTTTTTTTTTTCTAAGTTATGCTCTTCTTTCATACTGGTATTTCTGAATTCTGGACTAATACTTCCTTTCCTGTGAAATTATGGGAATTTTTAGGGGTTTCACTGAGTGAACTGGGATACATTAAATATGATTTTTAAAGAGGTAAAAAATTGCAGTTTGTGAATTCATCTTGAAATTACTTGACACTGTCTTCTCAGATTTGTGATATTCAAAGGTTTGTTTCTTACAACAGTTTTTGCAGTTCATAGCAATGACCATCCAGGCCTGAGAAATTGTGATTTTAAGTATACATTTATATTTCTTTAAAGAAAGAGTCGGAAATTAATTGAAAGTACATTGGGAAACTTGTAAACCTTAAAATCGGACAACTGGCTTACAAATTAGATCATGGCAAACAGTTGGATTACTGTTGGCAATTACATGGATCCATCGTGATCCATATGGCAATCATATGGATTACAGTTTGGCTATTACAGAGAACCAGTAGATTTTGAAATCATTTACCTTTTATTTATGCTGAGAACTTAATTCCTTTCTGGGACATGAGTTGGACACATCTTTCCAGAGAGTAACCTTCTTAGGCTGACTTTTGAGACAGTAACTTCCATAATTTTTTGGAGGCTTGTTAGAAATACAAAGTGATTCTACTGGATGACACGGCTATGTTATAAAAGTCATACATTGTCACGTTCTCTTCCTATTATCTTCAGTAAAAGTTGTTCCAATTTTCCAAATGTCCCCAGCTGCCACTTTAAACCACCTGCAGGTACACGTTTCTTCCAGTAACACCCACCTACATGTTTGGAATATCCCTTGGAAGTTAAGGGACCTTAATACTGATCTGTATTGCGAACTAGGCTGCATTCAGCTCTCAGTGGAGCAGAGGTCTGTTACGTGCTGCCTCAGGCATCACGAGGGCTAGAGAGGGGCAGTGTTTCTTGTGTGTTCTGGTTGTCCTGATAGTTAGGAAAACAAGTTTCTACAACACTTTCCAGCGTTCCTTATAGCAGAAAACTGTAAGGAAAAATTACCATTTACTTAAACTATTGTATTCCTCAGCTGATAGTCATATCATTGCAGATCCAAGGAAATTTGAGCTGCTGCTTTGAGTAGATTCTGTGGTCTTCAAGAGAAGGGATTAGGGTCATCAGTGAAGAGACCATGTCCTTCTCCTCCAGGTCTGTACCTCTCTGGCTTCCTAGGCCCATTTCTGACTCTGAGCTAAAAGCATTGTAAAATCCTGCTGCCAGTTCATGCTGACATCAGCATGCACTGCAGCATGCCAGTTTGGGAGCAGGGTGCTCCTGCAAGGAATAGGACAATGTACGATGAAATACTTTCTGTGCTTGCTGTGGGGGTGTGGCAGAAATGCATCTTTCAGTTCGAAACCTGCATGTCTTTTTCCAGAAGCTTGCACTGTCAGTTTGTTGACCTACTGAGTTTCCTTCAATAGTCTAGGGCTGAAGAAACTTGTCAGGCCCTTAGGATAAAGGCAGGCAAGTTGTATGGTGCAATTTTTTTTTTCTTTTTCTTTTTTCCTCCTATGTGTTCCTGGTCAATGGCAGAGACCTTGTCATCCCTTCATCCTTACAACATCAGATTTCAAACCACAGTATGTGGGATTTGTGGAAGGGGAACATTCTATAATCTTGATCTGTTTACTATCTTGGAGCAATGTGCTTGAGGAGTTAAGGTTTTTGTGAAAGTTCCCTCTTTTGCTTTCTTATGAACAACTTCACCTTACCAATGAAGAACACTTTACTAATATTAGCCAATTGCCTTGAAATTAGTGTTGCATCTAAAGGCATCAGCATTTTTGCACCATGTCACTAGGTGCTCTTGAGAATAGTTATGCTTCTGTGCAGTGAAGTGTAGTCCTGGCCTGGTATATAGCTCTGGAGACTCAAATCCACACAAACAGTTTGATGCTTACCTGGCACAATGTAGAAACTGAGGCACCTTGCGTGCACTTCACAGATCTTTCTGTAGTGGTGCAGCAGAGAAGTTGGTTGTCCCTGCATGTCCAGAGCTTATATAGCTCCCAAGCATGTGCCTTAGCTGCAGGCATGTCTGCTGCCTGACTTAGGCCTAAGCCCATTAGGGAGTCACAAACTACACTGTCACATGCTCAAGTCCTCTGAAAGAGCTGATTATTATACAGTGCGTGTATAGTGCACATTGATATTCAACCATTAACTCAAAATGATAATACAGCAACACGTAGGTGATAGGTGGAGTTACTGCTTCTTTCTACTTTAAGTGCTAATAGCCTGATGGCTAGAAAGTGGTTGCCTAAACCAAGCACACTTCCCAGTCTGAAGAACTCTGTCCTACAGAAGTGCCATTCTGGTATTGCTCAATAGTTTGGCTCCTTATATGGAGAAGAACGAGAAGTTTATGAGCTCGGGAGCCTAACTCAGTAGTGAGCCTGATAGAGCTCTCCTTGCAAGTGAAGCTCTCATGCTACATTCATCTGGTTACCCAGGGCTATTAAGCCTTTTTTAGAAGAGTCAGAATAGTTGAAAGGACTGAGAGCTCTGGGAGGAGAAGGAAGTCCTTCTCCTTCCAGCTTTACAGTGATAACATCAGATTTTGGGGATGTCTGATCATTCTGGTCTCCAGCAATTCTGTCAATTGGAGCGTGATCTTTCAGACCCATGCTTCCACTGTTCCTGCACTGTTTGTGAAGGACAGTGGTAGAATGTGTCACAGCCTCCCCTGCAGACTCATTCACATAAAAAGCATTTTTTCCTGTTCTATGTGGGTAGGTAATACTGAAGCTGAAAGAGGTTTGAGTTGAGTGGTTAATGTTTCTAGCCTGAAGTACAGATGTAGAATGGTTGACTCTTTTGTGACTAACAAATTATGGGGATGCAAGAGAAGGAATTTTTTCAGTGAGGATAAAGAAAGAAACAAACAGTCATTTACAAAAATGAAAAAAAAAACCAAACACCTAAAAAAACAAACCAAAACCCAACCCAACAAACCAGACAATTTTTTTAAGGAAAAATAGATTAAAAATTTCAAGTGTACATTCAAACATAGACAGCCTGAGACAACTATATTATTTGTATGTACAAGGTACCTTGAAGATAAATAACGCTAGGGAATATGCAGCAAATTTCAATCATAGACAAATCACAGAACTGCATATGCTTATATGGATGTACTTAAGCTTAAATTTG